CCAATTATTTATTGTCCAATGAATATGGTTTCTTCATTACATAGTATAAAACAAGGATTAGGCATGCGACAATCAACATACAAACCGCTACGCACTTAATCTCTGTTCAATCAGATAACATTGTTAGTGCTATGAATTTTAAGATAGATATTTTCTACAAGAACATTATTATCATTTCAAAAATTCAAATGTATTTTTTATGACACATTTGAATTTTTTTCTGGCAAATTGAGTACAGACTGGCAGTTTGTTGTAAAACCTTACGCAATTATTATTTTATGTAATTATTTTAATTATCTGTTATCCACCTTGTATACAATATCAGAATAGAATAGAATAGAAAATCATTTATTCAAATAAAGTTAATTTAAGCACTTATGAATAGTCATAACAATTTGTTTTTTATCTACCACTCGTTCGGAAAGCTGTCTCATCACAAGAAGAACTAGCAAGAAACTTGTGTGTTGCTCTTTTAAATAATCCTTGTAAGTTTACATTTACAAGTCGAAACGTGTGAATACAAACTACCAACAAGCACTAATTTTTTGGGTCAAATATAAATATGCAATAAGACTAAATCAGTCGTAGTGATAAGAGCAGACCAGTCCTTACAAGCAGCACTCGTTCACGAGTATGACGGATGAGCCAGCCATCACTGCGATCATCAGATGATATCATATTTTTCTGAACATTGACCGATTACATTGTAATATTGTTCAGGCCTTAATCACTTGTTTTAATAACTCATTTGTTCTACACACAAACGTACTTCTATTCCAATATATACTCTGTTGAAAGATGAAAAGGTCTGTTTTCGGATGCTGCGAGTTTGGTTTGCTCAGGTGGATCGCTGGCCAACACATAAATCAGTATTGACGAATGAATTTGTTCGCCCGATGTGAGAGTGATACGCCTCGCCATTGTTGTATATAGGAATGTATACTTTGGTATATCATATAGGTATTGGTTGATAAAATTGTTTTTTTTATGCTACGACTTTGGCAATAAAACCAATTTTTTATGGATGATAATGGAATGGTGCACCCGCTAACGCTAACGGTTTACGCTGGCGGGGCACCAGTCATCCTACTCTATGGTGCTCCAATAAGCATATGGCAAAACTAGGCCTATGCACAACAAAAATCGGAACCACTTTTTTCCAAACGTGTGGAAGATGGAAACTGTCGATACACATGCGGTGGTTGTGGTCGGCATCATGTCGAAATATTCCTGTGGACAGTCCGTTGTATAATCAGTAGAACACACAAAGCGAAGCTAAGTCTTGCCTCAAGCGAAGTGGCTTGATACCGGCAGAGTGATTGGGAGAACTTGCTGTACCCGCGACTTTGTCCGCGTGGAATTTACTTTATTTTTCTAAAATAAAAGTAGCCTAAGTTACTCCTTAGTATATCAGCTACCTGCCAAAAAAAATCCCGTCCCTGCCTTACTTCTGATGATCGCGGGTTCGATATCTCGCACGGCACAAACTTTTGTATTCATGAGTATGATTGTTTGTTTCGATCTGGGTGTTTTCCATATATAATATGTGTTTATTTAGAATTAAAAATAAATCTATGTATTTGTATCAGTTATCTAGTACCCATAACACAAGTTTTAGCTAGCTTAACTTGGGTCTAGATGGCGCTGTGTGAATTGTCCTGAGATTATTATTATTATAAAGGGCTATCAACATATCTATTACAATTGCGAAACCATATCAAAGAGTCTCAATGGATGCTGCATCACGGAAAGCCTTTCGTACAGCCAGTTACCATAGATCTCCCCTGCCCCTCGCACGATGCCAACTAAATAAGAAATGCTCGGAATCACTATGTAATGTCAGAGTTCAGCTTATCCCGGTCGTAGTGGTAATATAGCCTTTTTAATTACATGCATCGTACAGATGGAGTGCAATTTTAAAGAGGATTTTGTGGTTTCAGCCTTTGAAAGGAATTCGAAATTGTTATTTTTCAATATTCATTTTTTTGAGTTCAGCTTACTAATATCATATACGCGAAAGTTTGTGAGTATGGATGTTTGTTACTCTTTCACGCAAAAACTACTGATTAAAGTAATATGAATAACATATATGCTATAAATTTAACGCTGGTGAAAAATATTTGATGGTCGCAGGTTCGATCCCCGAAAATCTCATCCCAAAAAAAGGCATTCATGAGTATGATTCTTTTGTCTTAGAATTCTATGCTTATGGTCTACATTTAGAAATATTTTATATGAGTATTTATATATTTTTTTACTAGCTGTAACTCGTGACTTTGCCCGCGTGGTTTTTAACTTTATTTTTCGAAAATATTTATTTTTTAAATTAAAAGTAGCCTAAGTTACTTCTTATTACATCAGCTACCTATCAAAAAAAGTCCCGTCAAAATCGGTCCAGCCATTTCAGAGATTAGACAAACAGACAGAGAAAAATTGTAAAAAATGATATTTTGATACCAAAATATCATTTTTTACAATTTTTCTCTGTCATATACATATATATATATGTCTATACATATACTATGTACCGTATTTATATTCATATGCATGTAGTAAAAAACGGTTATTTCAATATTATAAACAGACACTCCTCACTGTTATATGTATATGTACAGATATATATTTTGTAATAATTGAAATATCATCAGTTCCTAAATACTTCGATTTTACATGAATATTTAACATAAAACATGAAATACAAATTAAAATACTGCAAATTCTATTGCGGTCAATCCTAAAGGCTTATTGGATAATGAAATTGAATTTTTGCGAATGTATTTGGGCCGCGGGTAGGGTTGCCAACCATATTTTATAATAACGTATCCTACTTTATTTTTGGTAATTATATTTTACTAGCTACACGCCCTGGTTTCGCACGGGTGTACATGTATTATACATTAAACCTTCCTCTTGAATCAGTCTATCTATTAAAATAAACCGCTTCAAAATCCGTTGCGTAGTTGTAAAGATTTAAGCATACATAGGGACAGACAGCGACAGCGACTTTGTTTTGTAGTAAGTAATAATAATGATATTTTTACAAACAAATAAAGTATGCAAAAATACTTTATTTTCAACCTTTACTGCGATGCGTAGAACAAAATACTCATTATGGGTACTTAACGATTTGTAATTACTGAACGAAATATTAGATGTCAATTGTGAGTTGTGACATTTGTCACAGCTCTAGTGTTGGACGCACACAAAAATACGTTTTTAAAGCAATAAAAACATGAAATTAAAAAAATACTTTTTTTATCTTATACAATTATTTATTATTTTTTGTCAAAAAAAGTTGGCAACCCTAGCCGCGGATCCAAACGGCTGTCTGTGTCAACGAGGCATTAATGAAACCTCTCAGAAAAGTTGAATTCAATCAGGGCCGGTAAATATTTGGTGTGCGCCGCTGACCGTCCGTCCGACCGGTGATAAATCACCACGACTATACTGAGCATCGGTCAACAGGCGTAGCTCTATTGAACCACTATAATGGTATAAATTCAAATTCAAAGTATCTTTATTCATATAGATCTATTACAGACTCTTATGATATGTCAAATCTACAGTCAGTTCGGAATGATTTCGAGATGAGAACTACTGACAAGAAACTCAACTCGTGTTCTTTTCAAATTCAAAATATCTTTATTCATGTAGATCTATTACATACTCTTATGATATGTCAAATCTACTGTCCGTTCGGAATGATTTCGAGATGAGAAGAACTGACAAGAAACTCAGCTCGTATTCTGTTCAGATTCAAAATATCTTTATTCATGTAGGTCTATTACATACTCTTATGATATGTCAAATCTACTGTCCGTTCGGAATGATTTCGAGATGAGAAGAACTGACAAGAAACTCAGCTCGTATTCTGTTCAGATTCAAAATATCTTTATTCATGTAGGTCTATTACAGACTCTTATGATATGTCAAATCTACAGTCAGTTCGGAGAGCTGATAAGAAACTCAGCTCGTATTCTTTTCAAATTCAAATTCATACTCAAAATATCTTTATTCATGTAGGTCTACTACAGACTCTTATGATATGTCAAATCTACAGTCAGTTCGGAATGATTTCGAGATGAGAAGAACTGACAAGAAACTCAGCTCGTATTCTTTTCAAATAAATGTTGTACATGGTTAATTTGTTTTTTGGTAAGGAAGAGTGAGTGAGACTCTTCTCATGAAGCGTTTATTGCAACAACTTAAACATTTTAAAATGACATATGGAACATATGCGTGGAGTATCCACCTTTTTTATTTGGTGCTCATATCATGGAATTTTATTTTATTTTATTAAATAAAGGTAGCGTAAGTTACTCTTTATTACATCAGCTACCTGTCAAAAAAGTCCCGTCAAAATCGGTCCAGCCATTTCAGAGATTAGCCGGAACAAACCGACAGACAGACAAAAATTATAAAAAATGTTATTTTTGTACATTTATATTTAAATGCATGTAGTAAAAAACGGTTATTTCAATATTACAAACAGACACTCCAATTTTATTCATAGGTACAGATAATAACAAGATTAGACAATTGTTATGAAACTAGTTTATTATTTTTTCTATGATATAACACAATAAATAAAATCATTCTATTAAGTTGTAAATACAGATAAAACAAGCTGTGCCTGTGACTTTATACAGTACAGTCGGTATAACAATAGTTTACAGCTTGTTGGATTAATAAAACAACATATGCTTTTAATATGTTTGGACTGTATTTTTATATTTGATTTTACAGGAGTACAGTGTGTATGGCTTGATAGTTAGAAACAGAAAGGGGGGAGTGACAGTTTGAATGAATCCTTTTTAAACTGTTAAGTGTTGCCATTACAAACCGAAAATATATACTACAAAATATTTATATTTATTTTAGGTTCAAATTGTCTTGAACATAGTTGGGGCCGGGCCAGGGTTGGTGCAGTAAATTTGTTAAAAGAAAAAGATATTCTAAGTTAAAAGTATAATTGATTTAAATGAATAATGAGTTTTCTTTTATTGTCCATCTATAGGAAGTGGACATAATTTTCTAAAAGACCTAGTGTATATTTTATTACCCATTTTTACTTCAGCAACCCTGACTTTATCATCAGGTCCCGGAAATATTTTAACAATTCTGGCCATGGGCCAATTTAAAGGAGAAAGATTATCATTTTTTACAATGACAAGATCTCCAACTTTTAAATTATTATGTGGATGCAACCACTTTGGCCTGCTCTGCAATTGGGTCAGGTAGTCACGCGACCAAGCTTTCCAGAAATCTTGCTTTAATTTAGAAAGAATTTGCCAAAATTTTAATTTACTAATATCTTTATAAGAATAATCAATTTCAGGTAAGCTGGTCATTGCCGTGCCTATTAAAAAATGGCCAGGTGTCAAGTATTTACAATCAGAGATATCTGAGCTCATGGGAAGCAAAGGTCTCGAATTAAGTACTGCTTCAATTTCTGTAATTACAGTGTAAAGTCCTTCAAAAGTTAAAGAAAGATTCCCCACAATTCTTTTAAGATGGCTCTTAACACTCTTAACCCCGGCTTCCCAAAGCCCTCCAAATTCAGGTGAGTAACTAGGAATAAATTTAAATGTTATATGACTTTTAGAACAAAAATTTTCTATGTCATTTTTATGAGCTTTTTTAGAAAACAATTCATATAAGTCTTTTAATTGATTTGAAGCACCTTTAAAGGTTTTCGCGTTGTCGCAATATATATGAGTAGGCAAGCCTCGTCGAGCAATAAAACGTTTGAGACATGCCAAAAATGCTTCTGTGGTGAGGTCACTTACCAACTCAACATGGATGGCTTTACAAGCAAAGCAAACAAATAGCGCTATGTATGCCTTACTAAGAACCGGCTTTCTACTTCGTGGAATTTTGATGCTGAATGGACCGCAGAAGTCCACACCCACAATTTGAAATGGTCTGTTAGCTGTCAGCCTATCTTGTGGTAGAGACCCCATTAATTGTTTAGAAGCTTCTGCTTTCAAACGAGCACACTTTATGCATTTATTCACCACCTTTTTGACCTCGCGAGTTCCACTAATAAGCCAATATCTTTGAGATAAGGAGCTTAATACAAGCTTTGGACCAGCATGTAACAATCTAAGATGTTCTCTTCGAATTATGGAATGAGTAATATGAGAAGATTTTGGAAGTATAGCAGGGTGCATTTTATCAAAGGAAATATTTTTCGCATTTTGTAGACGCCCTCCTACTCTGAGAACACCAGTTTGATCTAAATATGGGTAAAGATTAGCTAAACCAGATTTAATAGGTTTTCCCTTTATCATTGACTCTATGTCCTTATGAAAGTATTTTCTTTGAATACACCGAATTACTACTGAGAGTCCGTTATAGAGCTCTTTAGGCATCAGCGAACCACTAAATTTTTCTTGACTGAGACAGTTATTTTTAAAACGTAAAATATAAGAGATGACTCTTTGTAATTTATTAATATCAGAAATTTTTTGAAATAAATCGAATACAGATGGATCTATACAGTAGACATTCACTGATAATTCAGGCTCATGATTTACTATGGGATAGCTACAGTCGGCAGGTGTATGGCAAAATTTATTATTTATTAAATCTTTAGGACCATGCCACCACAAATAATTTGATTGCAATTTATGTGGATCAATTCCCCTTGTGAGCAAGTCTGCAGGATTATCAGAAGTTTTTACATATGACCATTGAAAATCTTTAGTTAAAGAATTTATTTCCTTAACCCTATTGGAAACATATGGATTCGCTTTAATATTGGCCATTTTAATCCAGGCTAATACTATCTGTGAATCGCTATATAGAAACACCTTTAACTTCAATCTTGTTTGCAATATGGTGCTTACTCTGTTTACTAATTTTGCTAGTAACAAAGCACTATTAAGTTCTAACTTTGGAATGGTTATGGATTTATTTAGAGGGGCAACCCTTGTTTTAGAACAAAGTAAGTTACTAGAGACACTAGAATCAGAATTAAAATTTCTCAGATAGAGACAGCAGCCAAATGCCTTAAGAGAGGCATCCGCATATCCAACTAACTCTACATGGAATAGAGTATTGGTGTATATGACTCGTGGTATTTTAATTGTTCCCATTGAGTTGAGATTAAATAAAAATTTATTCCAATGATCAATTTGTTTCTGGGGCAATGTATTTATGATTATCATAATTTAACGCAAAGTCCCAGTCAATCTGCATAGACCATAGCTCTTGGCTAGTACCACTACAGGACTAATCAAACCTAATGGGTCAAAAATTTTCCCAATAAAACTAAGAATTTTTCTCTTAGTTTTCATATAATAATTGTTTTCAATGATAGGACTTGAAAATATAAATTGATCTGGAATGACATCATATTTTATACCCAGAGTTTTAACAATATTATTTTTATGTAAATCAATTTTTTCAAATTATTTTTTATTAGAAGGAACATCATGTAAAACCTGAGGACAATTAGAACACCATTTGTGCAGCTCGAATCCCCCTATTTTTAATAATTGAATTAATTGAATTTTAATTTGTTCAAGCTGCTCTAAACTATCCGCACCACATATAATGTCATCGACATAAGTATTAGAAAGCAGGGCTTGTGCAGCTTGTGGAAATTCATTTTTATTTTGTCTAGCTAACTCTATAAGGCATCGCGTGGCCATAAAGGTGGAAGCCTTCAGTCCATATGTGACAGTCTGAAGTTGCAGGATAGAGATAGGTTTTTTGGGGTCATCTCGCCACAGAATATTTTGAAGACCAAGTTGATGTTTATTTATATTTATGGCTCTAAACATTTTTGTAATGTCACAGGTAAGTGTGTAACAATATGTTCTAAACAACAACAATATGTCAAAGAGTTCATTTTGGACCACTGGGCCATTCAGCATGACATCATTTAAAGAGATTTTGTTCAAAGATGGCATACTTCCATCAAACACAACACGCAGCTTAGTAGTTACACTGTCCTCTTTAAATACGGCATGATGGGCCAAAAAATAAACCGGTTCGTTATCAAAATCATAGGTACTGATATCAACAATTTTGGCATGTCCCAAGGCAATATATTCCTCGATAAATAATTTATATTGTTTAAAATACATAGGATTCTTATTAAACTTTTTCTCTAATGATAAAAATCTTGGAAGGGCCACTGAAAGAGAATCCCCAAGCTGCAAGTCATGTATATCAGTAATAAGAGGCATATCAATATGAAATTTATTATTTTGAATATTTACCGAATTTATGAAACATTGTTCAGCTCTCTGAAATTCAGTTAATTTTGAAACCTCAGTTACAACTTCAGGAACTCTTTCAGACAGCCAAAAGTTTTCCATTACACTTTCTAACTTTTCATTATCATATATTACCAAATTAGAAACAAAGTTATTATATTGTAGGTGATTCAGGTTTGATTCCTGATTATTACACTTTGTGTCTTGACTATACATATCACCTCCCACAACATAGCCAAATAATGTGTTTTGTAAAACAGGACCATTAGGTATTTTAATATGACCATCTAATAAACAATTAAAAAATATGTCAGCACCCAGAAGCATAGGAATCTCAGATGGTACATAAAACTCATCATCAGAGAATTTAATATGATTTGGAAAATTAAAACTTGAATAAATCACCCATTATTTATATATTGTTGCGGCAGGGGAGCTGTAATGTCATTGACAACATGGCATTTTACATTAAACTGAACATGAGTTACTATAGAAAATATTGTAATATTTACAAATTTATTTATTTGATTATTTCTCTTACCAATTCCAAGTATGTTGGATTGGCAACTTTTAGAAGTTAAATTCAATTTATCCATCAATTTAGTGGTGATGAATGACACCTGACTACAACTGTCAAGCAAGGCTTTTACATAGATATCTTGACCATATTGGTCAATGATTTTAACCTTTACAGTAGGTAGAATAAGATTATTTTTTACATTTATAGAATGCAAAGTTACAGGTTCCTCATGATTCTCATGAGAACTATTATTTTTGTGCAGAAGCGTATTGTGGCTCTGTTTACAGTATTTACAAACAAAATTAAATTTACACTTACCTATGTGATATTTCAGGCAGGTATTACATAATTTATTAATTGTTACAAACCGCAAGCGGTCCTCTAAGGCGGCCAGCTTGAAGCGAGGACAGCCATGTATAGCATGGCCGGTACCTTGACAAAACAAGCACAGCTTATTAGACTTATTACTAGTAGTAGCAATATTGCTGACTTTATTATGTGCAGTGGGAGATTTATTTGAAGTAATAGTGCTACTTTTATCCCCACTGTCTTCCAGCGCCATAGCACGCCGTTCTAAAAATGAAATAAAATCTACCATTGTTGGCAATGTATTGGGATCCCTATCTAATTGGAAAGCCCTATTTGTATACTGGTCTAATTTTTTAGTAAGTATGGATATCAACAGCATGTCCCAATGTTGGACTGGCTGCCCTAAATTTTTTAATGCATACATTTGTTGCTGTACCCCTGATATAAATGACCGTATAGCGGCCGCAGTACCATTCTGCATACAAGGTAACTCTAAAATTATATTAATATGATTAGAGATTAATCTTGCCTCATTATCAAACCGTTTATTTAACAATTATGTGTTAAAATTTTGAATAATTTCTGTTAGATATATTTATACAACCTAGGGCCTCTTTGTAGGATTGATTCACAAGAGGTAAGTTCTCAATGACAGATAAGGCGTCATGAGTTAACGATTTTCTTAAATAAAATAATTTTTGTACATCGGACAATGAACTATTGTTATGTATTACTGCCGAAAACAAATCAATAAAAGGCTTAAATTTGGTGAAGTCCCTGCCATCATATGACGGAATTTCGATATTGGGCAGCTTAGAATTGGATACATTTGTGCACAATGAATCTGTCTGAGTTAACTTCTTTAAAATTGAGGTTATTTTTGAAATTACATTAAAGTACCTATCTTCTATGATGCCCACATCTTCCACATCTTTATCGTCATAAGATAATATATTTAATTGTACCTCTTCGTATTCTTTAAATATGTTTGTTAGTCGATCTCGTCTCGCTGCAAACATTTCAGGAGACGACCCCAAATTGATAGGGTCTGCCACGAAGTTTTCAATGCGAGTGATTGATGCTTTGATGAGTTTACGCCGGTTTTTCAAATCACGCAATAGAGTGTCAGAATTCTCCATTTTTTTTTACGGTTTATTTTTCACAAACACTTGAAATTCAGAACAATAATTATGCACTTTATTTGTCACAATGATACAGCAGTTTTGTTTTTTGTAATGTGACAGATTATAAAAGCTAAAGTCACTGTGTGCCACAGAGCGAAAATAGGAAAAGGATGACGTAACTTTAAGACTCTTTGTCTCTTCTTGCTTTGAATTTTAACTCCGTGGATGGAGATACCCTCGTCTTGGAAAAATATTAAAATGCTGATATTATATTGAGATTCAACTTAGCTGCCAGTTTTTCTTGTTCTTGTGCGATGTGTATCACGAGTAATCACGACGATGTTGAAATTTCGCAACGAAATTATAGATTTCGCACGAAAATCTTCTGGGGCCGGCCGTCGACGTGGTATGGCCGTAGACGGAGTATGTCGTTCGGGATGATTTGTACCCAAACAACAGTTGAATTTCACAGCTTCGATGGACCACAAGCAATATGTTGGATTAATAAAACAACATATGCTTTTAATATGTTTGGACTGTATTTTTATATTTGATTTTACAGGAGTACAGTGTGTATGGCTTGATAGTTAGAAACAGAAAGGGGGGAGTGACAGTTTGAATGAATCCTTTTTAAACTGTTAAGTGTTGCCATTACAAACCGAAAATATATACTACAAAATATTTATATTTATTTTAGGTTCAAATTGTCTTGAACACAGCTTTTGTAAATGGCTTAGTTGAAACAAGCTTTAAATAACTAAGCTAGCAATTACACGCTTTTAATACAAGGAATAAAAATAAATTAAATATGCCTAGTTATCGTCTCAAAAAAGTAAGTACATCTTTCATGGGACATTGTATACGTTTTTATAATAAATTGCCAGATAGTGTTTTAAATTTAAGTGAAGGCAAATTTAAGATACACTTTGCTCTAAAGCTTATTATAAAATAAACGACTACTTAAATGACTACAATGTGTGGACTTAATTACAATTTTAACTTTTGTTATGAGGCATATAATATTTACCATTGCCTTGGATAATGTAATAACATTAAAGAAACTTATTATAAATTTTGTAATGACATATTGTAAATTAAATAATGTAAATTTAATATTGTAATGGGTGAAAACTGTGATCGGTACAGCCTATGCTGTAAATAATATAATTGACGTAGTGGAGTAACCTGAAACAGTCATGCTCGCTATAAAGTTCAAACTTGTGGCGGCGTGGTGGGCCGGGTCGATGTGCTCCCTCTAATATGGTTGAGTACAATGATGGCTAGCTCATACGTCATACTCGTAACGGGTGCTGCTTGTGGGGACTGGTCTGTTCAGGTTGTGAACACTGATTAAATTTTTTGTTCTTTGCGATAGCATATGCTGGTGGTCACTCTATTCTCCCAAATTTGAATTTTAATAACTGTATTTATTATAAACATGTTCCACTATTATTTGAAAAAATATGAGCTGAGTTTCTTGTCAGTTCTTCTCATCTCGATATCATTCCGAACTGACGGTAGATTTGACATATCATAAGAGTCTGTAATAGACCTACATGAATAAAGATATTTTGAATTTGAATTAAATA